TTGTGTCATTTGTTTTGAGAGCTGTGCCAAAGAGTCTTGTAAGTCCTTAAGAGTAATATAAGGAGGAGGAGAGGGTGGGGGGGTTTTAGCTTTCTGCTGTGATATTTGTACAGCTGGAGATGAAGCAAGAGCTTTAGGTGCTGCAGAAGTTCCACGTTTAGAAGCCATTATAACTTTAAAATAGTTATAAAATTTTCTTAAAAAGTATCAAAAATCAATGCAGAACAGCAGTCATTTAATTAGAATTTTTCTAGATTTTTCCTTCAAGTTTTTCTATATTTTTTACAGTCTGTTACAATGTAGCAATCCACAACCGGAAGAGAAGTGAAAGTTTTCCTTTAGAACAAAGAAGCTGTTTGACCGCAGCCATTTTTTTTTAAAGTTTCACTTTCAACTTAAACATTACAGAAGATGTCTTTAAAAGGAGAGTTAGAGTTGAAGTTTTATCCAAAAAATCCGACATTCCTGGTAAGCTCTGTCTATTAGAGCTTTACTCACAGTTCAGATCTTTAGCATTAGAGGTGGAAACGGTGTCTTGCTTCGTTAGAACGAAGACGTCCCGATCTATGGAGATGGCTGTGAGCTCCAGCGGAGTTCACACCTACATCTCCCCGAGGGCCCTCAGGGGAGACTAGGGAACTCTACGCCTACTCACCAGCAGCTCACCTTCTTCCCTTCGCCCGAGAAGAAGGCTGAAGCCGGCAAACAGCTGATACGCGCTGTTTTGCTGGCTTTTACATAGAACGCTGACGGGAGGCTGTCAAATTGCCTCTATCGGCCGCCGGCGGCCACCGGAAGTCCCAGAAAAAGTATATTCTTAATTGTCATTTATTAAAACAATAAGAATTGTATTAACTCAATGTTTGCTAAAAAGGATGTTTTGGGGAAAGAGGAAATCAACTAAAATTAATATATGGAATACAGATTATAGAAATCAATTGTTAAGGAGTGTTTTTTACAAATGTAACCCAGACAACACACTGTTTACCAATTATTGAGTGACTTATGCTTTGTTAAAAAATTAATAAAATATATTATAAGTTTTTTTTAAAAAAAGTACAAGGTGTTCGGTGCTCAGACACATCAAGGTAAAAAGGCTGAAAGCCAATCACCACTGAACAAGACATATAAGTTGAAACAGCAAGACTGGGCCAAGAAATGTCTGAAGACAGATTTTTTTCAAAGGTTTTATGGACTGAAGAGATTAGAGTGATTCTTGACAGACCGGATAGATGGGCCTATGGCTGAATCAGTAACAGGAACAGAGTTCCATTTTGACTCAAATGCCAGCAAGGTGAAGGTGGGGTACTGGTATGGGCTGGTATTATTAAAGATGAGCTAGTTGGACCTTTTGGAGTTGAAGATGGACTCAAAATCAGCTCCCAAACCTATTGCCAGTTTTTAGAAGACATTTTCTTCAAGCAGTGGTACAGGAAAATCTGCATCTTTCAAGAAGACCATGATTATTATGCAGGAAAGTGCTCCATTGCATGCATCGAAGTACTCCTCTGCATGGCTAGCCAACAAGGCCTTAAAGATGAAAGAATAATGGCATAGCCCCCTTCCTCACCTGACCTAAATCCTATTGAGAACTTGTGGGCCCTTCCTAAAGGGGAGATTTACGGTGAAGGAAACAGTACAACTCTCTGACCAGTGTCTGGAACACTGTGGTTGCTGCTGCACAAAACGTTGATTGTCAACAGATCAAGAAACTGACAGATTCCATGAATGGAAGGCTTATGACCGTTATTGAAAAGAAGGGTGGCTATATTGGTCACTGATTTTTTTGTTGTTGTTGAAATGTCAGAAATGTTTATTTGTACATTTTGAGTTTATTATTCTCACTTTAACAGATGCAAATAAACAAATGAGATGGGCAAATTTTCATTTTTCATTTAGTTGCATAATAATTCTGCATACTAATAGTTGCCTAATAATTGTGCACATTTAGACTTTCTTTTAAGAAAGCCGAAACCTCACTTTTATTTTCTTAAATATTCAGGTTTCAGATTTATTAACATTTTGGATTGACCGAGAGCACTGTAGTTGTTCAATAAGAAAATTAATCCTCCAAAATACATCTTATCTAATAATTGTGCCCACAGTGTATAAACATGTAAATGTTTGACATGATTTCTGTTTCTAGTTACGTGAAGAGTTTGACCGTGGTGTGGATGTAGTATTGGATGAAGAACAAAGCATTCATGATGTAGCAGCTTTATTAAAGGAATTCCTTCGTGATATGCCTGATCCACTCCTGACCAGAGAGCTTTACACTCCTTTTATCAGCGCACTCTGTGAGCAGTCTGTCTGTCTGTATCTGTTTGTCTACCTACCTATCTACCTACCTACCTACTTACCTACCTACCTACCTAAATGGTTGATAAACTGCAGCCCTGTCAACTTAAATTGCCTGATATGTCTCAGTATATTGGTTTTTAAACTTAGATTGGGGATAAAATGGTTAAAATGGTTCATTCTAATAATCATCTTCATATATTCAAGGGGAAAGCTTTGGATATATTAGTCACAATGTCAGCAGCTGGTCCAATGAAGAAATGTACAAAAGAGATGGTCTGCATCCATCAAAGAAAGGGACTGAGTTACTTGGCTATAAATTCACAGATTTTCTGGAGGAATATTTAAACTAAACAGCGGGGACAGTGAGCTAACTGATACAGAACATCCCTGTCCCCGGCAATCTAAAAATTATAGGGCTATCAGTGCATGTAACATAGATGTGTGTGTGGACAAGAACATCAACCTTGCTGTCAAGCAAAATCAAGCTCTTAATAGCGAGTGCCACACAAAATGCACTAACCAAATAGGTGGTAAGACATTAGGGGAACTCAGGAACCAAACAGGTTATGTAGGAAGTAAACACAGGGTCGGTCATAAAGGACTCAAATGTCTATACACCAATGCACAGAGTATGGATAACAAACAGGGTGAACTAGAAATTCAGGTTAATGAGGGCAGATATGATATTACAGAAACGTGGTGGGATGAAACCCACAAATGGAACACACAGCTAGAGGGATTTAAATTATTTAAAAGAAACAGACCAAATAAAAGAGGAGGTGGAGTTGCTCCCTATATAAGAAATAACTACATCTCTACAGAAATAGAGCACAACAATGATGAAAACTGTCTTGAATGCATATGGGTCAATATAAAAGGGGGGAAAACGACATTGCCATAGGTGTATACTATAGGCCACCCAACCAAACACAGGAAATAGACGAACTTTTTCCTAGTCAGCTAACTAAGATATGTAGGAAGCACATCACAATTGTAATGGGGGACTTTAACTACCCTGACATCAACTGGGAGACAAACTCTGCACCAAGTGGAAGATCAAACAGATTCCTGACAAACCTAGCAGATAACTTTGTCTCCCAAAAAGTAGAGAAGGGAACTAGGGGATTAGCCATTTTGGATCTAATTCTCACAGAGATGAAATGATTGGAGCTATTGCATTTAAACTTCCCAGGGCTTGCTATAACTGTGAGTGGAAAGGGGATTTAGCTCTAAAAGCAGCTGGGGCCTTGCTGATTGGAGCTATTGCATTTAAACTTCCCAGGGCTTGCTATAACTGTGAGTGGGGAGGGGATTCAGCTCTAAAGGCAGCTGGGGCCTTGCTGATTAGAGCTATTGCATTTAAACTTCCCAGGGCTTGCTATAAACTGTGAGTGGGGAGGGGATTCAGCTCTAAAGGCAGCTGGGGCCTTGCTGATTAGAGCTATTGCATTTAAACTTCCCAGGGCTTGCTATAAACTGTGAGTGGGGAGGGGATTCAGCTCTAAAGGCAGCTGGGGCCTTGCTGATTGGAACTATTGCATTTAACCTTCCCAGGGCTTGCTATAAACTGTGAGTGGGGAGGGGATTCAGCTCTAAAGGCAGCTGGGGCCTTGCTGATTGGAGCTATTGCATTTAAACTTCCCAGGGCTTGCTATAACTGTGAGTGGGGAGGGGATTCAGCTCTAAAGGCAGCTGGGGCCTTGCTGATTGGAGCTATTGCATTTAAACTTCCCAGGGCTTGCTATAAACTGTGAGTAGGGAGGAGATTCAGATCTAACCAAAAATCAAACAGCAGCAGTACATTCAGGGCAAGTGCGTCTGATTCCTTGTATCTAAGAATGTCAGGCATAGTTCAGTGCAACACTTGTTTTGCAGCTGTCTTTCGCAGTACCCTTTTCAATCATGGAAACTGTCCTATCTGTAAACAAATCACTAATCTACAAGGACGGATTACTTATCTAGGGTCTGTGATCTCTGCTCTTCAGGCAGAAATTAGGTGTCCAGTTCAGCCCCTCTACTCCACTGAGCCTCCAAGCTATCTGCCCCCTCTACCTCAAAGATCCTGCAGGAGAAGGGCAGTGTGGAGAACCATGGGATCTGGCAGGGTGAGAGCTGTGAACCATAAACACAAAGCTTTTGCTGTGTCCCTGCACAACAGTTACAGTGCCCTTGCTGACCTTAATAGGGACATTAAGGAGACAGGTAAAGGTATTTATGATGAAAACTCAAATAAGCAGGGGATCTTGGTCCGAGATGAAGAACTTGTTTTCGACAGGGAGAAGTGCGAATCAGGTATTACTCATCAGTCATGCAAGAACAGAAAGGCACCCAAAAAGAGAAGCCACCTTCTGGTTGGTGATTCAATTATAAGGGATGTAAATTTAGGAAAAGACACAGAGGTCTCGCATGAGGTCAGGTGTCTTCCAGGTGCTACTGCCAGTAGGGACAAGAAGCGTATTTGTAAAATAATCAAGAATGCCAGCAAGGACTGTGATGTGGAGGCTATTGTACATCTTGGCACTAACGATCTGTCCCAAAAAGATGTACTCACTGTGCAGAATGACTTCCAGAGCCTGGGGCAGGAACTTAGCAGAATAGGCTGTAG